TCAGTATTTTTTGTTTCTTTTTATTCTGGGTCCATGGTAGATATGCTGTTCCTTAGGCTCCTGAAGTAAGCATAGCCATGTGACTATTTTTTGTCAATGAACAAAATGTGAACAAAATGCTATTTGTCATTTCCTGGTGGAAGCCCTTAAGAGGTGGTACACTATTTGCCACCTTTCTCTCTCCAGATGGTGGAGCCTTTATTAGCATATATCTCTGTGTTAGGACATTGTGAAGCTGATCCTTCAGCCAACCCATAAAGAATGTGTAGTATGAGTGAGAAAAAAACATTGTTATTGTAAGCACTGAGATTTTGGGATTGTTTATTACCATTGTATAACTTACCCTGTTTTGACTGATGTGCCACATTAATTTGCTCTTATGTTTTACTTTCCCTTATTCCAATCCTCTATCAAAACTCATTTCAAAAAATCCGCTTGTGAGGCTGTTGAGTGTGCCACACATAATGAATGACTGAGACTCTCCAGATCATTTTTGATTAGATGCCAACTGTTAGGATTTTTGGACTGCAATATGCTGGTTTATTGAATTTTACTATATTTACATGTGTAAATATGCACAAAAAGTGTTGAAATCACTTAGAGTGAGAAGATTGTTACTTTTGAAAATGATTTTAGAGAACTATGAGAAAAGAAGATATTGGGATCTTTAAAGACAGACACTTAAAATGCTTAAAGTTCTAAAATTTTTATTGCTTCAAATATTGCATCTACCTCATGCTCTCCTCTCCTGGGACTTCAGTTACATATGTGTTAGATGTCCTCACTGTATCCTTAGTCTCTTATCCTTTATTCTCTATTTTCCATCATTTTTGTAGAAACATTTTGAGTCTTACAGTTATGTCTTTTTCCGGAGAGAATTTTCACATACAGCTGTCAGGCAATCTGGGATTGCTGTATTCCATTTTTAAGGATTCAGATGATTTGAAGCTGGGCTCTAGTTCTTGTGTTGTTCATAGAGAACATACGTTATATAGTTTCAGTCCTCTTAAATTTATTGAAACTTCTTTTGTGGCCTAGCATATGGTCTTTTTTTGGAGAATGTTCCATGTGTGTTTGAAAAAAATGTGTATTCTGCAGTCGTTGAATAGAGTGTTTTATAAATGCCAGTGAGGTGTAGTTGGTGGATGGATAATGTTCAAACCTTCTGTATCCCTACTGATTTTCTGTCTAGTCCTTCTATTAATTATTGAGAATAGGATGTTGATATCTCCATTTATGTTGAATGGTCTGTTCTTTCAGTTCTGTCAGTTTTTGCTTCACGCACTGTGGGGCTCTGTTGTTAGTTGTGTATACATTTATGATTTTTGTATTTTCCTTATAAATTGACCCTTTTATCATGAAATCTCTCTCTTCGTCTAGTAATATTTCTTGTTATAAAGTATATTTCAGCTGATAGTAATATAGCCACTCAAATTCTTTCTCTCTCTTTTTTTTTTGGTGGCTGGCTGGTACAGGGATATGAACCTCTTACTTTGGTGTTATCAACACTGTGCTCTAACCAACCGCACTCTAACCAGCTGCAGTCTAACCAGCCACCCCTCAAATTTTCTTTTCATTACTGTTTGTGTGGTGTATCTTTTTCTCATCCTTTTACTTTCAACTCCTTTGTGTTTTTGCAACTAAGGTGTGTGTCACTTGTAGACAACATTTAGTTGGTTCTATTTTTGTCCAGTTTGACAATCTGTGTCCACATATATTTAATGTAGTTATAATATGGTTGGATTCACAAATAGCCATTTTTCTATTTGTTTTCTATATGTTTCACATGTTTTTTGTTCTTTTGTTCCCCCTTTATTTCTTTTTTTATATGTCAAATATTTTTTAGGGTATCTGTATTAGTCCGTTTCTGTTGCATATAACAAAGTACCTGGAACTGAATAATTTAGGAGAAAACAAAATTTTTTGCTTACAGTTTCAGAGGCTGGGAAATCCAATGTACAGGGAACACATCTGGTGAAGGCCTTGGTGATGTTGACAGTGACACAGGGGTCTCACATGGCAGAATGGCAGAGCAGAGAGAGACTCTCTCATGCCCTCCCTTTAAAGCCCTCAGACTACATCCATGACCACCATTAAACCATTCACTATGGGAGGGTCCTCACAATCTAATCACCTCTTCATGGCCCCACTTTTCAATTACTGTAATAGGATTTCGCACCCTCTTCACACTGTCACAATGGGATCAAGCTTCTAACGCATTAAACTTTGGAGGGGACACAATTCAATCCACTGCAGTACCGTATTAATTTCTTTTGATTTAAGTAATTTTTTTGAGATTGTTTTTTCTAAGTGATTGCTTAGGGATTATAGTCTACATCTTAACTTCTCACAGATTACTTCAGATGTGTACTAATTTAAATTCTGCTAAAATATTGAACCTTTGCTCCAATCTAACTCTATTACCTGTTGTAAACCCAGCAGTACAGTGTTATAATTATTGATTTATAGACTCTTCTGTCTTTTAAAGATGTTAAAAGAGAAATGGTCGAATAGGTTTGTAGTGTCTTTCATACATGCTCATGTACTTACACATCTGGTGCTTTTCATTTTTTATTGTGAATTTGAATTGCCATATGATGTCATTTCCTGCAGCCTGAAGGACTTCCTTTAGTATATCTTGTAAGGCAGGTCTGCTGTCTCCATTGTTCATGATAAGTCACCTGAGAATTATACTGTTTTTTTTTTTTGTCTTTTGTCTTTTTCTGTGTCCGGCAACGGATCGCAACCCTCAGTGTTGCCCCGGTCCCGGACCAGGGACCGGCAACGGAATTGCAACCCTCGGTGTTGCCCCCGCGCCTCACTCAGCCAGTGAGCGGGAACCGGTCTGTATGTGGGATCCGAACCCTCGGGCGGGAGCGCCGCCGCGCTTCCCAAGCGGCGCACTTATCCAGTGCGCCACCAGGCCGGCCCCGAATTATACTGTTTTTAACCTGCATGGGATGAGTCATTTTTTTTTTCTTGCTACTTTCAAAATTTCTTTTTTGTCTTTCAACAATTTAACTATTGTATGTCTAAGTGTGACTCTGTGTTTATCCTACTTGGGGTTCATTGAGTTTCTTTGATTTATTGGTTAATGTTTTTCATCAAATTTGGAAAGTTTTGACCATTATTTCAAATGTTTTTCTGGCCTCCCCCTTTTCCTTCTGATACTCCCATTACATGTATTTTGGTTCACTTGATGTTGTCCCACAGGTCTCTGAGATTCTGTTAATTTTCTTCCTCTCCGTTTTTCACATTTGATGAGTTTTACTAGTCTGTCTTCAAGTTCATTGATTCTTTCTCTGCTATTTTGAATTTGCTATTGAGCCCCTTTGTGAAATATTTTTTCTTTTTTTTGATAGCTGGTCAGTATGGGGATCTGAACCCTTAGACCTTGGTGTTAGAACACCATGCTCTTACGAAATGAGCTAACCTGCCAGCCCCTCTAGTGAATTTTTTTATTTCAGTGATTATAGTTTTCAGCTCCAGAAGGTCCATTTGTTTCTTTAAAAATGTTCTAAAGTATCTGTTTGTTTAGATTTTCTACTTTTTGCATCATTGTTATCATACTTTCCTTTAGTTTTTAGGCATGGTCCTCTTTAGTTCTTTGAACATATTTATAATAACCGCTTCGATGTCTTTGCTAAATCTGATGTCTGAGGACCATCAAAGACTGTTTCCATTGCCTACTCTTTTTTTCTTTCTTTAGTACAAGTCACATTTTTCTATTTCTTTGCACGTTATATAATTTTTTGTTGAAAATTTGACAATTTAGATAATATATTGTAGCATTTCTGGATTCTGATTGCATTTCCCACTATCCCCAAGGCTTATCACTGCAGATTTTTGTTTATTTGTTTAATATTTGCTTAGAGTAAATCTATTTTTCCTGTGGCATGTGGGAGCTAATATCTCTCCTTAGTTTATTATTATTGTTGTTACTGTTTTTGTTTTTTATTTTAAAGCTGGATTCCTGGAGGTCACCCCTTATGTTAGCCAATTATTGCTTAATGATGTGCTCAAATACATAGAGCCAGTAAGTCTTTTCCCTTCTAATAAGAGATCTATGTGTAGATTGGGGAATGTATTCAAAGTTCAGGCCATTTCCAAGTTGGTACCAATTTTTCTGTCCTCCTAGACCACTATGTCTCTAGCCAGGAATGTGTTGATAGTTTGGGCTCTCTCTAATCTCTGCTACACATTGCAGCCTCTGTATAGGAATATATAGAGAGTTTATCAAGACCATCTATGGCTGCTTCTCTTTTACGATCTCTCTGTTAAATCCTTGTTGATAGTTTGGGCTCTCTCTAATCTCTGCTACACATTGCAGCCTCTGTATAGGAATATAGAGAGAGTTTATCAAGACCATCTATGGCTGCTTCTCTTTTACGATCTCTCTGTTAAATCCTTTCCTAATCTGCCAGTCTGCTTGCTCCAATTGGGACTGCACCTTCACACTTGCTTGGATAGCTTCAGGGTCTTCCCTTTCACTTCTGGGCATAGATTTTCTGCTTTCCACTCCAAATCAGCTCAGCCCCCTGTGTCAACATAGCTGCTAGTTTTTGTGGTCTGTTGTACCCTTGCAGAACCACCACACTTACTTAGCTGGTAGAGGAAGGGTAGTGGGAGCAGGCCCAGGAAAGAATGCCAGTCTTCCTCTGTCCTTACCCAAGTTCAGTAGATTTTCATGAGCAAATACTTCTCAGTTTATTGTGTACCTTTGGGCAATTTCCAGTTATTTGAGATAATTGTTTTTGACAGCTTTTTCCAGCTGTGTACTTGCTTTTGCAGAGAGGATTACCAAACTCCTCACCCCATTATGCTGGAAGTAGTCAGTCTCCTTTGTTGTTTTTGGTTTTATTTGAAATGTTCATGTGGTTTTTCACATAAGGACATACAAAATATTGCATAGAAAGTGTATAATTTTAAATTCCATTTAAAATTTATTTTCTAGGATGCTACAATTACAATTAAACAAATTTAATCTTTTTATTGTTCAGATTTCAAGTTCCACCTATAAAGACAGGAATGAGGAATACAAAAGACAGTTTACACATCTGCCTGATACAGAGAAGCTGATAGCAGGTAAAAAAGACAGAAATTTGCAAAATAATTTTTTTATTACCTTATTACAGATAGTGACAGTACATGTAGAAAATTTAAGCCTTTGGGTCAGACAGAAAATGGTTTTCAAGATAAGCAGCATCTTATCAATCACAATTAGACAATGTAAAACTCAGTTGTAATTTGGGGAGTAGTGATTTCTGACTTATAAGAGTATTAAGTATTAACTAAGAAAATAGAACTAAGAAATTATTTGTCACCATACCTTCTGGTGCTTGTTTTATGTGGTTTTGGAGGGAAAATTTAAACTTGATGTTCAATATCTATTAACTTTTCCTAGAAAATATACTCTTTAATAGATATGCTCATGGAACAATTTAATAAAATGTTCTAGGGCTAAATCATTTTCATGTAATTGTTCACATAGATTTTTTTGAAGTAAGCTTTTTTTTTAGTTGCTTTTTTATTTTATTTTATTTTATTTTACATTCTAGGGTGTTGCAGAGCAGTTGAGAGGGAGGGGTAGAGGAAAAGGGGAAGGATATGTGATGGAAAAAGGCACCCCCCTCATTCCCACAGGGGAGACCTGGGGGCTTCCAACAGTCGCTTGGTCATTGCCCGGCTGGGTGCAGATGTCAGGGGGTATGGCAAAAGCCCTTGCCTTTACCATCCCAGCTTGGGAACCTGGGGCCCTTCTTGCTGTGTCTTGGTGGTTGTCACTCGGCTGGTTGCACATGTTGTGGGGGGGATGGCCAATGCCCTCTGCCCCCCACTGCCACAACTTGGGAGAGCTCAGAGTGCTTCCTGTGGTGGATTAGTGGTTGCTCCTGGGCTGGTTGCACGTGTCAGAGGGGCATGGCTGAGGTCCTCAGACCCCCACCACTCTGGTTTGGGAGAGCCGGGGGCTCTTCCTGCAGTGGTTCAGTGGTCGATGCTGGGGTGGACTGTATGCTGAAAATTGTAAAACACTGATAAAAGAAGTAAAAGGAGACCTAAATAAATGTTTATGGATTGGAAGACTCAATATTGTTAAGATCCCAATTCTTACCAACCAAAGTCTCAGCAAGCTTTTTCATAGATATTAACAAGCTGATTCTAAAATTTATATGAAAAGTAAAGGAACTAGAATTGCCAAATAAATTCTGAAAAAGACAAAGCTGGGGGACAAACACTACTTGATTTAAGATTTACTTTAAAGCTATAGTAATCAAGACAGTGTGGGAGTTGCAGAAGGATAGACACTTACGTCAGTGAAACAAAAGAAAAAAGATCAGGTATAAATTCAGACAAATATATGAAATGATTTTTGACAAAGGTACAGTAGAGAAAGAATAGTCTTTTCAACAAAGAATGCTGGGATGATTAGATGTCCATATTCAAAAGAAATGAACCTTGATTCATGCCTCACTTTTTATACAGATATTAACTAAAAATGGATCATAGAGCTAAACATAAAATCTAAAACTATAAAACTTCTAGAAGAATAACATCTGTGTTTTTCTAGAGAAAGTCTCAGTGACCTTGGTGTTAGGTTTGGTGAGACAGAGAAAAGGGAGAGAGACCCGCGCCAGGTGCCATTTCAGCCAAGCAGCTTTATTTCCCCCAATGTGGAGGGGAGACTGAATCAGATCAGCTTCCCCCAACAAAAGGAAGCAGGAAGTTTATAAGGCTTTGAGGGTTCTGGCAGCATAATGGGCAATTTTGAAATCAGTGGTATGCAAGGTGACACAGTTCTTGTGGTCCGATAACATCTGGTCCAGACCAGCCCAATTGCCTTAAGCTGGCCATGAGGCCTAATATTTGGGTTTGGCAATGACTTTTTAGATGCAGCATCACAAGAATGATTCATAACAGGAAAAATTGATAAATTGGACTGTATGAAAATTAAAAATTTTTCTACGCAAAACGTACTGTTAAGAGAATAAAAATATAAACTGCAAATAGGGAGAAAATATTTGATAATTACATATCTGATTTTTAAAAAAAGTCCAGAATATAACTGTTCTTTAAAGTCAGTAATAAGAACATGAACAACCTAATAAAAAAATGGGCAGACACTTTACCAAAGAAGATATATGTACGGTAAATAACCATATGAAAAGATACTCAACATCTGAAATGCAAATTAAAGGCACAATTAAATAAACCACATACCTACTAGAATTGCTAAAATTAAAATACAAATAAACAAAAAACCTGACAACACAAAGAGATGAGGATGCAAAGTAGCAGGAACTCTCATTAGCTAGTGGTGGAAATGCAAATGATATAACCACTTTAGATGGCAGGTTGGAAATAACCAAGATGTCATTCAACAGGTGAATGAATAAACAAACTGTCGTACATCCAGATAATGGGATACTATTCAGTAACAAAAAGGAACAAGCTGTTGATATACACAGTAACATGGACTACTCTTAAATGCTTCTTTCTAAGTTAAAAAAGTAGAACTCCCAAATCTGCATATTGTATGATTCCATTTATATGACATCCTGGAAAAGGCAAAACTGTAGAGATGGAAAACAGATTTGTGGTTCCTGTAGTATGAAGGGGAGAATGGCTGCACAGGGAAATTTTTAGGGTGGTGGATGATTCTGTATGGTACCTTGGTGGTGGTTACTTAACTATGAATTTGTCAAACCTTTACAGAGGGAACTTTGCTCTTTAAAAATTTAAAAATCAACTATTATGTCAGGAGATCCCACGATGGAATGCTGACTGTGACAAGTGAAATTGTTACAAATAAGTGACGTAACTGCACTCAAGGATGGGTTAGTATATTTCCATCTATTTCCTAGCACTCTGTCTGCTGAGAGGGCCTTGAAACAGTCATAGTCATAGTAATGAGCATGTCCAGGGCCCAGATCTTGGTCTTTAAATACCATTCTTCAATAAAAAGAATCAGAGCTCCTTGAAGAAATGGCTGAGTCTGGCGCTGGAGCAGTAAAAATACAAAATGAGTGAGTTTGGAGCACCTTGTTTGTAGTGTCAGAAAGTAAGGAAGACCTTTGAAGAAATGGCTGAGTCTGGCGCTGGAGCAGTAAAAATACAAAATGAGTGAGTTTGGAGCATCTTGTTTGTAGTGTCAGAAAGTAAGGAAGACCTTAAAAACAAAAACAAAAACAAAACCAGGAGTCAACTTGAAAGAGCTCCCAATGGTCAAAGTTAAAATAATTTGAACAACAAAATAATGATAATATTGGTTTAAAACCTGAAGAATAAAATAAATGTCCATGAGTCCATACTGATATAAATAAATGCTTGAATAATTAAATAAATAGGGAGAATGTACAACTTTTTCAAAAGAATTCCAAGCATCCTCAGGTAATTTATATGTACATTAAAGTTTGAGAAACTCTGATCTAGGGAATTAGGTGCATACCTATGTTTGAAAGTCTTACTAGGTTCTTATACTCTGTACATGTAATGGTGAGGAGGGTCTCTAAAATATTTTAACTAATCCACACATATTGATAAAACTGATTTCACCAGTGTGACCCCATGTCTAGCATCTAATATGCTGTTGAAAGAGCCACTAATTCTGCCAATGAAAACCCTTTTCTAATATGTATATGCTAATTAGCCAAATATTTGATGTTGAAGAGAGATAAAGATAGTTGAAGGGCTTATAGTAGCCTCCGATGGAGTGTAATCCTTCTTATTAAATTGTTAGCTGACCCATACCAAGTGTAAATCTGTAATTAGGGCAACTAACTGTCCATAGAATATTTCTAAAAGTCTACTTTAGTGCAGGTGTATATATCACACTTTTTCATTCCTAATATTCATTTGTGCCTTCTCTTTTTTCTTGCTTAATCCTGACCAAATATTTATTAAAGTTAAAAATACGTTTGATTCAGCAATTCTACTTCTAGAAATGTAGTATTATGAGGATGTATTAATTCCCCAACACTTCTGGCCTACCAGAGTGAGGCTCTGGTGGGGAGAGAAAGCCTTTGGGTAAAATGATTGAAATGCTGATAATTGGAAATGGGCTGGAATGTATTGAAATGAACTGGGAGGAACATGATGTTCTTACTTGAAAAATCAATAATCCTTAAAGAAATTTTATTAGTCAAAAGTCTACCCAACAAAAAGCCCTATGCCAGATATTTTTACACATAGTTTTGTTCAACTTTCAAGGAACGCATGGTCCCTCATTATGCAATAGGAAAATAGTAAAATTTTCCAAATTTGTATTTGAAGTTATTTAACCTTGAAATCGGTTGGGACTGGGTGGTGGCAGCGGGGGTTGAGGGGGTGGGGAAGAGCATGTGTACAGAGAGAATATGAATTATATAGTCTTATGGTTGTCCTTTCATATGAGTGAAGGACTTGATTTATTAAACAGTTGGAGTGGGTTGCCTTTGTGTGTTTACCCAAGAGAACTCTCCCGTATCTGTGTGGGAAGGTGGGAAGGAGACATGATGTTGACTGACAAATCTATACTTTGTGCAGAGAGAAGGTGGCAGGTTGGGATTTCTACCCCCAACCTTAAATGCCAAAATGCAACCTTTACTCTGGGACATTAACATTTACTCTAGGGTCTGTAGCCTTTCCTAGACATGGTCCCATAGCTTACGTTTTTCTTACATTAGAGCTTGGGGATAAATACTGCCACTGTGTTGTCAGTTACCTGATATCTGTCCCTATTCTAACTTATTCTTTCCCTCTTTGTGCCTGCTGATTCTTTAAGTGTGCAGATGTGAGGAAGAATGGTAGCCTTTGCCTGTGTATTTTTTGAGCTGAGCCTTTCTCCACACTCTAGTTTATTCATTGGTATCCACTTTCTGACTTCCAAAAATTTATCAAAACTTTCAGTCTGCTAATGTGCTCATTCTTATACCCAACCCTAAGCACTGTTATGAATTTAATTTGTTATATATCTTCCCCGTCCTCTCAAAAGAGTTTTGGAGAAGGAGGGAGATATAGAAGTTCTGTGTACTGTGGGCTGGCTGGTTAGCTCACTTGGTTAGAACGTGGTGCTGAGGGCCAGCCCAGCCCATGGCTCACTTGGGAGAGTGTGGTGCTGATAACACCAAGGCCGTGGGTTTGGATCCCTGTATAGGGAAGGCCGGTTGGCTCACTTGGGAGAGTGTGGTGCTGACAACACCAAGTCAAGGGTTGAGATCCCCTTACCTGTCATCTTTTTTTTTTTTTTAAAAAGGAAGTTCTATGTACTGATTTTTAATTAAAAAAACAGTATTTATACTTCTAAATTTGTTTATCTCTTTGAAAGTTTTCAGCTTTGAAGACTAAATACTTTTTTTCAGTGACATCATTGCTCAAAACATTTTTTAACTTCTCTGATTACCTGAGTGAACAAGGTGGATATACAAGCTCTATAACATTGTATTGGAGAAATATAATTAATACAGAATCTCCTGCCAACCCAGAAAACGTGTCCACAAAGTAGGAGAAAGCATTAACCAGAATGTGATGTGCATCATAGGCAATCCTCAAAAGAGATTGCAAAGACAGAAAGAAATCTCATCCTGTTATACAGTCAAGCATACACAACCCATTGCATACAAAAAGGACTTGACATTGCCTTTGTCACACATAGTTCATCCCAAATTTACCTGGTAGTTGGGGCAACCATCAGTGTTAGCTGATTGGCTTAATCCAGAAGAAAAATAAATTTATATCTTTATGACAAGAGGTGGTTTTGCAACTTGGAGAGAAGCAGCCACTGAAGTTAGGCTACTACCTTTTCACAGAAACTGGGAGACAGGAGGGTTAAGTCCCTTGATGTTTACATTTCAAAGGGATGGCTCTCAGGTCCTTGAGAAAATATTCCTAGGTTGTAAAACTGGCAAAAGTCCTATCTAGCTTTTAAAAAGATCCACATACATCTCAAAGAAACAGAAAAGAATTTACAAGTTTTTAAGGACAGTGCTCAAAGAAAAGGGAGAGGTGGGTGTCTTTCCCTTTTTGCAGCAGGGAAAATTAATTTCTTTCTTTTTTGATTTGTATTTACTCCTACAGTTGTTTCAAGTAAAAAGCAAACAAAATAACAAAAAAACAGTGTAAAGTATAAAAATGAGAATGTTTTGTAATTTAAATACTAAATCTGAAAGCAATCCTAAAAATGGTATTCCAACCCCCCCCCCCAAGCAATGTCAGCATTATTGGACCCCCAAAGGTGATTGCTGCTAGGAAGGAATACTTTGGGCTTTGGGATATGTATTTCCTGATATGATTGTTTAAAAAAACACATTCTCTTAATTAATTGTCATTTCCCTTATGGATAGATATGCCTAAATTATTTTGTAAAACTATAGTACTGTTTACTTAAATATATGTATACTACTAATCATGCAGGCTTACTCTAGAAGTATCATACTGATTCTCTCCAGCTGTACTCCCATAGTACTTCGTACAGTATCCCTTGCTAAATTACAGTTACTAAAATAAATCTTTAGGAGTTGGGTCCATTCTATCGTGCTGAAAATTGATCGTATAATAGCGAGTAAGTTGATGTTAATACACACAGTAAAGTGACCTAAGTTGCTTGGTTAATTTCTTTAATTTTACCCTACCTTTCTAGTAACCAATTATAAAGTTATAAGTCCATTAAACAATTTTTGATAAACATTGTTTTCTTATTCTATTCTAGATGAATTAGATTGTTAATATGACTCAAATCAGGTAGAATATTGTCTCCTAAAGTGCTGATTATTATTGTTGTACATGTTTTGTTTATCAGTAGGGAAACTGGGAGCAAAAAAAAAAAAAAAGAGTAAAATCCCTTCACTTTAAAAAAAATTTCTATTTCTTGCATAGGAAATCATTTCTTAGAAAATCAATTTTACTGAGGTGTAAGTTTCTTATGAAAAAACACACCCATTTTAGGGAAACCATGTTTTAAAAAACCACTGAAAAAAGTCTGCCAATATATATCAAATAGTCTTCACTTAAAATAATACAAGTGGTTACTATAGCTTTGAATATAGGTAACATAAAATAATCCACTGGTTCTCAAAGCGTGGTCCACAGACTAGCAATTCTGGCATCACCTGAGAGTTTGTTAGACATGCAGACTCTTGATCTCACCTCAGACCTATTTAATCAGAAACCCTGGGGGAGGGGCCTAGCAGTCTGTGTTTTGATAAGTTGTCAGGTACTTCTGAGAAGCATTGAACTGATAAAATGTTTCTATGGTTTAGATGAAAACTTCAGGACCCTCAAAGTGATCTTTAGACTAATCTCTGTTTTTAGAGATGCATACTAGTAAATGAGTAACTTAATCTGCTTAATTATTTACTAGGAGTTTTTGTTGGGTGACACCTCAGTTTCGTTTTGCTGAAGGAAGCATTGTGAAAGACTGAATTACTTTGCTCAATTTTTATTATTTGTTTAGATGATTGACACGACTAAGTTTAAATATTTTTGGGTTTATGCAACTTTTCCCTAAAGTTGGTAATTACTTTATAGTTTCTAAATTTAGCAGTTAAACTAAATCTCCTCACAGCAGCCCTTTATATCTTGTATTATCAATAATTTAGCCATACTCTTTACATTAGCCATAGAGCCAGATCTTAATCTTAGAGGCATGGAATTAAATTGCTTTGTAGGCAGTGACATTTACCAGAAGACTTGATTTTGCTGGATTTTAGTGCTGAGGTGGAATCAACTTTAAAACTAACGTAAAATGTATACAATTTTCTGAGTCATCTTTGACCCCTTTACCCTTGTCCAACATCGAATCAATCACCAATTTCCTGTCAGTACTACCTCCCAAGTATCACTGAATCTAACTACTGTGTCTTTTAATATTGTCATATTCTGGTCTGAGCCACCATCAACTTTTCCCTGGACTTACTACTGATTTATTGGAATCCATTCTCACAGTGTGAATAATATATATCTGATCATGTCTCTTCCACTTAAAGCTTGTCAGTGGCTTCTCATAAAGTTCACCATCTACCATAGCCTGAGATCTTACATGATCCAGCTTCTCCAGCTTCTCTGACCCAGAGATCTCTCTTCTTATAGATCCTCAAATGTGCTGTTTCTCTCTACCATAGGGACCTTTGCATGTGCTCATGATCCTGCTGATCCTCCTGATCCTGCTGACCCTTTATTGATCTTTATTTATTTATTTAGTGGCCGGCCAGTAAGCCTTTATTGATCTGAAAGATCACTTTTTCAGGAAAATCCTTCCTGCTATCTCTGTCCCCACCATGACCTCCATACCTGCATAGCCCTTATTATATGCTCTCATAGCTTTTCTATATTTGGTCATTATCATACTTATTTTGTATTTGTTTATTGTCTGTCTGCTCTCTACATTGTGTTTCACAAAGGCAAGAGCCATTTCTGGTAAGCCTAGTAAACAGCAAAATATCTGGCCTATGGTGTCCAAAGTATATGAGTGAATGAGTGAATGAACTGATGAACAAGCAGTGATGACTTTCCATGTGTTGAAATGGTATAGTGTTTATTAAGTTGCCAGACTTTTGTGAATAACTTATCCTTATTTTTGTGTGTGTAGATTATGCTTGTGCTCTTCAGAGGGACATTTTGCTTCAGGGACGACTATACCTTTCAGAAAACTGGCTGTGTTTCTATAGCAACATCTTCAGATGGGAAACTACAGTAAGACATATTTTGCATTTGGTTTCTTGATACAAATAATTGCATAGATAGAAATATATACAGTGTTCCTAAAAACAATTTACTTTAGATGATTTGAAAGTCAGTATATATATATATATATTTATGCATCTATACTTATAAAACATGATATACATTCATGTGTGTATAAGTGTGTAATATGCTTTTCTAACTTAATACATTGAGCTCCATTAGTACTTAATAAAGGTAGAGAAAGATTTCAAATGGAAAAAGGCTTGAACATACATCTATTGGCTGCCAAAATCATATCTTATGTGACAGACTGTCTGAATTTTGTGTGTTTGTGTGCTGATGTGGAACACGAACACCCACATGTCTTTTCACATTTTGTCCTAATATTAGATATAGGCGTTGATGGGGGAGAATACTGAAGGGAATAATGTCTGACTACCTACCTTGTTTTTCTCAGAGAATACAGGCATGTGCTTATTAATTCCTCCAGATTTTTCATCTGAATATTCTGGATTAGTTTGATGTAATACTTGGTATTTTGTCTTATATATGTTTCTGAAAAATACAGAGAATACAGGCATGTGCTTATTAATTCCTCCAGATTTTTCATCTGAATATTCTGGATTAGGTTGATGTAATACTTGGTATTTTGTCTTATATATGTTTCTGAAAAATATATTTTGTAATTTTTTATTCTTTTTGTGTTCAGATTTCTATTGCTTTAAAGAATATAACCTTCATGACCAAGGAGAAAACCGCTCGACTCATTCCAAATGCTATCCAGATCATTACAGAGGGAGAAAAGGTGAAAAACTTTTCTACCTTTGCCATATTTCACAATGTGAAGAAAATATGCCTCATACCAATCATCAATTTTGGAAATATAGGCAGTTCTTCTTAGAGTTAGGAATAGCTGATAAAGATATGTCTATTTAATACTAAATTTCTATATGCTTAAATAGTAATTGGTGATACACTTTAAATAACTGCTGACATTTTTTGTGTTTAATCATTTACAGAGAACATTTTCCCGTTTTAAAAATTTATTTATTGTAAAAGGTAGGTAGGGTATACATTATCAAAATGTCTTTATTATTTCTGTATAACCTAATAATTCCATGATTGTTATTTAGTCAATAATACCTGCAAAGTAGGAATTGATAAAACCAAATAGTTTTTGGTGAACAGAGATTTGGGTAGTATACAAATAACCACACAATCTTTGTAATCTGTTTTTAGAATGGTAATTATCTTTAACTGCCATCATTTTTATTATCCACCTACAATATCTGCCATTTCCTAGTGGAAATACATGAAGAATCCTTCTATACCCACCTGGAAAATTGGTTAGGGTTCTGTTTGTAACATTGGAAGCATAATATTGAGAAAGAAAAAGAAAAAAGGAAGGAAAGAAGGAAGGACAGGAAGGAAAGTATGGAAGGGAATGAAGGAGAGGAAGAAAGAAGAAAGGAAGGAAGGAAGGAAATGAAGGAAAGAAAGAAAAAGAGAAAGGAGTAGGAGGACAGAGAGAGAGAAACAGTACCACGGAATTAAATCTTTGTAATTAAACTTTTTAATCTTGTAAATTTTCTTTCAAATACACTGTTTTATTTTTATTTTTATTTATTTATTTTTTTGGCAGCTGGCTGGTACAGGGATCCAAACCCTTGACCCTGGTGTTGTAACACTATGCTCTAACCAACCGAACTAACCCGGCCAGCTCCTTATTTTTTTTTAAAAAAACAATCTCTTCCCTACATAACACTTCCAAGGACATTACAAGACCTTTTCCCCCTGAACTGTTTGAGAGTAAATTGTCACCCTGATGTCTTATCAACCTGTGTATTCTAGCATGTATTTCTAACAAGGATATTCTCTTGCATAACCACAATATAACCATCAAAATCAAGTAATTAACATTGATCTGTTACCGTTGTTCAATCCTTAGACGCTATTCTATTTTCACAGTTATCCCAATAATGTCCTTTATAGCAAATAGACTTAATTCAGAAATACACATTACATTCAGTTAAAATACTCTTTAATTTTCTGGAAGAGTCTCTTAGTCTTTCCTTGACTATGCCCTTGACACTTTTAAATATTACTGATCAGTTATTTTGTAGCATATCTCTCAAATTGTGTTTGATGTTTCCTTGTGATTAAATTTAGGTTATGTAATTTTGGGAGAAATACATGGCAATGCTCTATTCTTTCTATTGTATCCTATCAGTGGCACATGATTTCAGTTTGTACCGTTACTGGTGATATTTACTTTGGTTATTTGATTAAGGAGGTGTCTTCCAGGCTTTACAATAAAGTTAGTCTATTTTACTTTGTAATAATAAGTATTTTGTGGCAAGATACTTTGAAACTATATAAATTTACCATTCTCACCAAATTTTAAATCTGTTCATTTATTCTGTGAGTATGAACTTGTTGAGGTTTATTATTCTTCAATGAGTTATAGTCGGTTACTATCATTATTTTGAAGCTCAAATTGTCCCAAATTTGGCCAGTGGGCACACCCTGCAGCTATCTTCATTGTGCTTCTGACTATTTTCAGCATATTTGAGCATTTCCTTGCTTTTTGGCACAAGGATTTTCAGGCTTTCTTTGCCCCAGCCCTGGAATCAGCCATTTCTCCAAGGAGTTCTTGTTTCTTTTAGGGGAAACTGATATTTAGAAGCTCATCTGTTCATTGCTATTGGGGTGTCACTATTCCCAAACTTTCTAAGTGGGCTGGACAAAGTTGTATATTATGTATATATAATCACACACGCATATACATCATGCACGCACATACACACACACATATATACCCACTTATACATCCATCTATCCATCCATCCATCCATCCCAAACCATGAGTTCACACCAGTACCTCCACCTTCAATCCAACACCACAGAGTTCATTTTTATTTTCACCCTTTCCATGTTTGTAACTCCCTTTCTTGACAGGGAGAAGCCAGGCTTCCATTCTTCTTAATTTAGTTACTTATTTTACGAGTCAGCCTGTATGTGACCAGTCTTCATCTCCACTGCTGCCCCTGCCTGCCGTGGATGCCCTTTTATCCAACTTGGTTTCTGACATTTAGAGTCAGGCTGCTGCCCATCCCACCATGACATAGATGCTCTCATCACCCTAACTGGGCTGACAACCCTGCCAAGCCCCTTCTCTGTGTTCACCTTATCCTGTGCCAGGTCACCCCTCTACAGGGACACCCTCCATTCTCTGCTTGTGTTCTGACATTCTGTGCCAGTCTGTCACTGTGTAGTCATTGACCTCATCCTGCTTAGGCTCTGACACCCCAGCATAAGACCAACCTCACAGACTCAGGATGCCTCACACTCACCTGCTCTGGCTCTGACATGCCTTTGTAGGCTTCCTTCATTTGTGGCCACACTCTTCACCACACTCTTCATGTGGGCTTTGATACCGTATGCCAAGCTACCCCTTTACATGGTCACTCTCCTTGGGCTCTGACTTGTGCCCTACCCCCATGTTCTTTTCATCTCATTCTTATTCTTATACTGTGCTCCATGTAGGTTTCATATGTGGAGGCCATTCTTCCTCATTTGGATTCTGACATTCCATGCCAGGCAACCTTTCCTTGGGAATGACCTTTTTGTTCTGATACCCTGCTTTGGGCTACTGCAGCTCCTTGCCCCCATCCTCACCCATAGTGTAGATGCCTCCTTTCCCCTGTTCCACCAAGAGCTTTAGGGCTGAACTGTTCAAGAAGATGAGTAGAGGAACTAAAATATACTTTTTCTTAATTTTACAGTTACAGTACTTCCCTCATTATCTGCGGTTTCACTTTCTGCAGTTTCAGTTATCTGTGGTCAATCCCACTCTGAAAATATTGGGTAGAAAATTCCAGAAATAAACAATTCATAAGTTTCAAATTGTACGCCATTGTGAGCAGCGTGATGAAATCTCATGCAGTCCCACTCAGTCAGAAGGATATGAATCATCCCTTTGTCCAGTGTATCCACTCTATGCACCACCTACCCAGTTGCCACTTAGTAGCCATCTTGATTGTCAGATTGAGCACATGGTATTGCAGTGATTGTGGTCAAATATCCCTTATTTTGCTTAATAATGGCCTTAAAGTGCAAGAGTAGTGGTGCTGGCAATTTGGATATGCCAAAGAGAAGCCTAATTTATAAATTAAACTTTATTATAGGTATGTATATATGTATAAAAAAATAAAAAAGCATAGCGTATATAGGATTCAGTACTATCCAGGGTTTCAGGCATACACTGGGGGTCTTGGAATGTATTTCCATGGGTAAGGGGAGACTATTGTAATACATGCATAAATTTTTATTTATTATTTTATTTTTATTATTTAATTATCAAACAGTTCTAAAACTAACATCTTCCTTTTATGCCCATAATCCTCAATCCCATTGCCTTTCTAGAGGCAAATGTTGTTATCAGTTTGGTATGTATCTTTTCATACTGTTTCTTTTGTATTTACATATAGGGATACTTATATAGAAACATATAGTTTTGCTCTTTTTTAAAAAAAATCTATCTCATAGGTGTTGTTCGTCTGCTCTTCTTTTTAGAAAAAACAACATTATCTCTTGGAGTTGCAGATCAGCACATGCTGTTTTTTGAAGTGTTGTATAGTATTTCATAGAATGGATGTACTATGGTTTCCTTTACCATTAGTTCATTTCTAGTGTTTTGTTATTACAAATAATGCTGTAGTGAACAACCTGACCATGTCTTCTTAAGCTCGTGTGTGACTGTTTCTCACATATGTAACAGAATTTCAAGATGTCAAGCATTTTAATAATGATAATAACAACTAGCATGTACTGAACACTTACTGTGTTTTAGACACTATCTTAAACTCTTTATGAATATTTTCTCATTTAATTCTCACAAAAATCTAGTATAATCATTCTCATTTTGTAGATGAGGAAACTAAAGAAAAGTGACTCAAAGTCACAGAACATGGACACATGCAGAGACTCTGGTCTTAATTTCCTCAGTATGTTAACTCAATGATCTCTTTTTCCATCATCATAGGGCAAAACTTTGTACTACTAAATATTCATCCCTTTTGTGTACCATATGACTAAAGAAGGCTAATTATGGCACTTTTAGTTGTTTTATGTTCTAGAATATGTTCTATGCCCTAGTAGCGAAGAGATGTCATTATCCAGAATTTTTCCCAAATTATATTATAAGGTTATTATTGAACTGAGATTTATGAATACAGACTGTGAAAAGTGATATAATTTAAAATTAAGATCCTTAAAATAAATTTACCTCTGAAATCCACTTGTATTTTTTTTCTTATTCTTTACATATTCTTGGCTCAAATGGCAATTAATTCATATCTCTTTGCAAAGTTCAGAATAAAATAAAATTTTTATCTTTTAAATAACTTTGTTTAGATTGATTTTAATATTTAAACTATTATGAACATAAATAGCTACCTATTTCAAGCCCCTTTCCCTAGTAAATACTGACAAGATTGTATTTATTTCGAGATACCATTTATTGCAAGATATGATTTGTAAAGATACCTCGTTCATACAACAAATATCTATTTTTCTTCTATTGTAACAAAAAGTTAAGTAAAAATAGTATATAAAGTAGGCAGTGGTGACTTACTAGTTTGCTTTGATCATAGCAAGTCCCCACAGACCTTCATGACAGATACTTTCACCTTATTTTCCATGGTACTAAAATTATACTATTGTTTTTCTTTGCAGTTTTTCTTTACATCTTTTGGTGCCAGGGATAGAAGTTACCTCAGTATCTTTAGGTTGTGGCAGAACGTATTATTAGATAAGGTAAGTGTTCATATTAGAGGCAGGGGCTTATTATAATAAGAACTTCCTAGTATGTACCTAAACAGTATTTGTTAATTGAAGAGCTGCTTTTTATTTTTCTAAACTTAATTTTGACTAGACTATTCAAGTTCAAAGGAAAATTTCAAGCAAAACAAGATCCATAGTTACAAGTTAAGATGTTAATTATATAGTGGTTACCAGAGGCAGAGAAAGGGAGAGGGGAGAGAGAAAAGGGGAGAGGTTAGTAGAGCGGTGCAAAGTTACAAAGTTAGGGCTGGCCCCATGGCGCACTCGGGAGAGTGCGGCGCTGGGAGCACAGCGATGCTCCCGCCGCGGGTTCTGATCGTATATAGGACTGGCTGGTGTGCTCACTGGCTGAGCGCGGTGTGGGTGACACCACACCAAGGGTTGCGATCCCCTTACTGGTCACGAAAAAGACCAAAAAAAAAAAAAAAAGTTATAGTTAGATAGGAAGAATAAATTCTGGTACTGTAGGGTGAGAATAGCTAATAATATTGTATTGTATATTTCAAGATAGCCAGAAAAGGGGATCTTGAATGTTATAATCACAAAGAAATGATAAATGTTTAGGTGATAGATGTGCTAACTATTCTGATTGGATCATTATACAATATATGCATGTATTGAAACAATAAACTGTACCCAATAAGAATATACAAAAAAATTTAAAAAAATAAAGTTTGGACCACCTCTTTAAAAAAAAGTTAATTGTGATCCTCAGGGTAACCACCAAGAAAATAACTAAAAAAAAAAAAAAAAAAGAAAAAGTAAAAGAAACATCAGATGAATTAAAATGGAACACTAGAAGCTATCTAACACATCAGAAGGCAGTAATGGAGGAATAGAAGGATGAAAAAGACATAAGACTTACAGAAAACATAGTAAAATGGCAGACATTGCATAGATCAATAAACATTAGTGTAGTAAACACTTTAGGCAGAGGTTGGCAGAATGAAAAAAGTACATTATCCAACTATGTGCTGTATGTAAGAGAAAAATTAGATTCAAAGGCACAAATAGATTGAAAGTACAAAGGAAGGAAAAAGATATAACATTCAAACAGTAAGCAAAAGAACATAAGTGATATTGGACGAAATAGTCTTTAAGACAAAAATGAATAGAGACAAGGAAGATTGTTTTATAATAGTAAAAGAGTCAATTCATCTGGAATTCATAACAATGTTAAACATGTGTATATCAAGGACCAGAGTCCTAAAATATATGAAACAAAAATGGGCAAATTTGAAGGGAGATATAGACAACTCGACAATAATAGTTGGAGACTTCAGTACTCCACTTTCAATGATGGATAGAACTAGATCAACAAGAAAATAGAAGACTTGTACACCACTGTAAGACATCTATGGGACAATCCACCCAACAACAGCAGAACATACATTCTTCGTAAGTGTACGTGGAACATTCTTCAGAATAGACCTAAGTCATTCTTCAGAATAGATTCTAAGTCATAAAATGAGCCTCAATACATTTAAAAGGATTAAAATAATACAAAATCTGTTCTTTGATGACAATGGAATGAAATTAGAAATCAATAACAGAAGGAAATTTGGGAAATTCACAAAAAAAGTGGAAATAAAACAGAACACTCCTAAGTAACAAACGGGCGAAAGAAGAAATTACAAGGGAAATTAGAAAATACTTTGAGTTAAATGAAAACAAAAACACAACATACCAAAACTTATGGAATACAGCTAAAGCAGTGTTTAGAGGGAAATTTATAACTGTAAACAACTATATTAAAAAAGAATGATTTCAAATCAATAGCCTAACTCCACCTTAAGAAATTAGAAAAAGGAGAGCAAACTAAACTAGCAAGCAGAAGCAAGGAAATAATAAAGATTAGAGCAGAAATGAATGAAATAGAGAACAGACAAATAGATGACAGAACCAAAAGTTGTTTTTTGTTTGTTTTGTTTTTTTCCAGTCAACAAAATTTAAAACCTTTAGCTAGATTGACCAAGAAAAAAGAGAAGACTAAAATAATTAAATTCAGGAGTGAAAGTGATGACATTACTATTGACCTTATGAAAATAGAGGTTATAAGGAAATATTATGAACAATTGAATGCCAACAAATTAGTTACCCTAAATTAAATGGACACAAACTGCCAAAACTGACTTAAGAAGAAATAGAAAATCTGAGTAGACCTATAACAAGGAAAGAGATTAGTAATCAAAAATCTACCCACGAAGAGAAGCCCAGACCCAGATGGCTTTATTGGTGAATTCTACCAAATGTTAACAGTAGAAAGAACACCAATCCTTCACATATGAGGGTACTTCAAAAAGTTTATGGAAATATTTGTATTACCTTTTAATTCTACTTTTTCATGAACTTTTTGAAGTAAGCCCGTAGTATTCCAGAAATAGAAGAGGAGGTAACACTTCACAGCTAACTCTGTGAGTCCAATACATAGTAATTTGATACTAAAACCAGACAAAGAACATGATGAGAAAAGTGCAGACCATGATCCCTGATGAACATAGACACAAAAATCCTCAACAAAATATTAGCAAACCAAATCCAGAAGCACATTGTCTGAAGGTGGAGCAGACAAAATGCCCACCAAGCTGAGAAGGTATCTTAAGACCTAAAAACAAAGTGGGTATTTCCATGCAGTAAGGCAAAGAATTTTAATTAAAAGGGTAGTTTACTCCTTGGTCTGCAAGGAAATCCTTTAGATGGTCATACAAGGAATCTGTGTTGAGTGTGCAGTTAGTGTCCTTCCATTCAGACTCGTGGTGGACAGAAAGCTAACTTCCCTGATAGAGAAAATGTCACTCTCAGCCTCCTCTTCTTGTCCGACCTCATCCTCTGGATAGTGACTGTCCAGCCCTAGGGCCTTCTTGCCGTCCTTCTCTGTAACTTAAACCACGAAATTGGGAGTTGATGTCAGCTCAGGTTCCTGTTCTTCAACCTTCTGCCCTTGTGAGGGCTTCTCCTCACCATCGACTGTTTGCAGGATGCTATTGTTAATGTTGAAGGTGACAGTGATCCCTTCCCTCTCCACAGCTTTCCACACGGATTTAACTTGTCCCATTCATTTCCAGCTCTCAACCTCCAGACATCTTGGGGAGGACTTAGGCTTCAGGATTTTCTTTTCCTCCTTAACTTCATCACTCAGGAATTCAACAAAAGCTTCGTCTCATACAGTGAGCAGCGCCGCGCAGCCACAGCCTCAGGCAAGGCCGGGAGGCTGCAGGAAACCATGAGTACATGGAGCAGCAGCCAGAAGGGCAGGGCGGCCAGCGACGGCTGGTCTCATACAGTGAGCAGCGCCGCGCAGCCACAGCCTCAGGCAAGGCCGGGAGGCTGCAGGAGACCATGAGTACACGGAGCAGCAGCCAGAAGGGTCAGGCGCATGGCCAGGCCGGGTGCAGACTGCTGCAGCAGCAGCCAGAAGGGCAGGGCGGCCAGCGACGGCTAGGCCCAGGCTGGGGGGCCCACAGCTCAGCAGAGGCAGTGTCACTTCGTGGAGGCAGCAGCAGACACGTGCGGCAGCGAAGGACAACCCCGCTGAGGCCAAGAAAGGCTACTTTACTGCGGGAGCTTAAACATCACAGGCAGGAACTTAACCTCCTCTCCTCCCCGAGACTCCCCAGCTATACCCCCCACTGGAGAGGACAAATGTTGGCCTCCAGGGCTCTGTGGATTGAATGGCCTTTTGAGCTTAGGCGCCGAGGACAGGTTCTTCCACGCAGCGCCCTACTAGGATGTCTTCACTTAGCCAGAGTGCAGGGGAGAAGTGCCTGGACGTCGGGAGTTGGAAGGGAGAGAGGAGAGAAGCGGTGGGGTTAGGGGAGCTTGCTAAGTCCAGCCCCTTCAACCCTCAGGAAGGGAATAGACATGACTGGCTGGGAAGCCACCAGTCCAACCTTCTCCACCCCCAATAAGTCTCCAGGCTTATCTGCACCACACTCTACCGAGTGAGCCACGGGCCGGCCCTTAGTCTCCAGGCTTATGGGCACCCTGTCTCGCTGGAGCCCCATGCTGGTGCTTCTGGCCTGGGCGATGCTCAGGGCAGCCTGCGCGCCGCCGACAAGGTCGTGGAGCTGGCGCACAGAGGCGTACTGCCCCGCAACTGCACTGCACCCTTCCAGGTAATGCTGTGGGAAGGAAGCCAGGCTCATCACGTTCAGATCCGTTGTCATAATTATCGTGGGCTTCTTTTACTGGGACGGGCTGAAAATTCCAGAATTGCCCTAGGGACCTGGCTAATCCCACCCCCGAATACCCAGTCGTAGAGTGCTCTGGGAATCGGTGAGGTGCTTTCCCTTGTTCTAACAAGGAGCCAGAGACTGCTATGGCAACCTGCACTTGGTTATACACTGGATCTGAGTGTCCTCTCCAAATGACATTAGCGTTTATCACATGGGAGTAAATTGGGATGCATACTTATAAAAACTAATATCTCCGGGGAAATGATAAAGTTCGGGTTTACAGATGAGCAGAGGCAGAAACTGAGGTCTGCACTTTAATGAAAAAGAAAGGACAAAAACCAATGTTTAAGCATGTATTATGTGCTAAATACTATGCATAACTTAAAGTTGAAAGTGAGTTTTCAGTTTTAAAACTGCCCTGACTGGAATTTTAAACACTGTAGAATTCACCCAGAAAAGGAACTAGAAAAAACAAACAACCACTTTTTTTTTGTATTCTCGTAGTGATATTTGAAGAATGGTGTTATTTTTAAAAACATACTAGTATCTATAACAATAATAGCAACTTCCACTTATGAAGTGTTAGGTGCCAGGCACAATGACAGGTGCTTGGTGTAGTGGTGGTATGTATTGTCTATAATTTTACAAGCTTCAGTTGCCTTCTAGTTTTTTAAAGTGATAAAGCCACATTGATTAGATTTCTTGATCTGTGTAACACTCTGAAAACAGGTAAAGAAAAAAACCCCAAAATTCATAAAATACCCAGCATAACTATGAAATTTTATAAAAACAACTTTA